CCTTCCTACCTTTTATTCTTCCTTACACTTTTCTTATTTAAAGTCGCCCCCTGTAGAATTTCATCTGCCATAATTTTGAAGATACTTGTTTTTTTATATATATATATTTCAGTAGAACCTGCAGATCTCAGTCTGAACATCTTAATGTGAAAAGTCTGCAGGAACTCTGTATTTAACAGTTCAGTGTTTAATATCCTGGAGGTTTGATTGCAGAAATGTAAAATCTTGTTTTCGATCTAAAACCTGTTTCCTCATTGGGAGCTGTAATTTAAATCTACAAATTCAGCTTATTCCTCCTGCTTTCCTGAGCCCAGTCTGCTGCTTATGCATTGGACCTTCAGCATTGGACCTCTATATTTAGTGTCATTTTCCTGCTCAGTCGGGTCAGGTACTGAATTAAATGATTCATTATGCTGTAAAAAGCGTTGATTGGGTCGTACCACCTAGAATAAGCTCTTCCTGATCAGGATTTTTTTTTTCCCCTCCCAGTACTAATCCCAGTTAGCTCGCTCACCAGTGACATTCCAGAGGCAGCAGGTCCTGTTTTCGCTTTCAAACGGGGCAGTTATCTAAATGCGAGCAGGTTTTTCCCTCTGTTTTAATGCGACTCATGAATATTTTGCCTCATAGCTTATTTCCATGCGGCTGCAGTTAATCCAGTGCGGACAAAACGTACAAAAAACAAAAAGGTTCTTCAGCTTCGTCCTTGAACTTCATAAATTTTAAAGAGTCGAGTTTCAGCCGATCTGTTTGAGGATGTTCAGACATTATCTGCAGCATTAAATACAATCTTGTTCACTGGAAATGTCATTGTAAAGAGTGGAAAAAACTTGTTTGAAAAAAGGTCAGATTTGCAAAATTAAACGCTCAGCTCTACTAGAGATTATCCTATCGAGACTAATTAAAATCCAGGACATTGGGTGGACTGTGAGCAACATTGTTGACTTTTTCCAGCTTTATCTGTTTAAAGTTCGAGCCTTGATGAGGAGGGAGGAGTTTCTGAAAGCAGATTTCATTTTCCAGAATCCATCTCTAAACATTTCCAACCATCCTACCTTAAACCGCGCTGCTGCTTTTCTTTGAGCTTTGCAGGGAAATTTAACCTGCTGCACCATAAGGACTGAAGCTGCTCAAACTTTGATAAAGAAATATTAATGCTTTTGGTCCTGCATTTCCAAGCAATCCCTAGAAATGAGGAATAAAATAATTAATGAAAAAGGATGTTAACAACCCTTCTCTTCCGTTTCAGTGTGAATTAAACCTCATTTGAAGATGCTGCACCTGAAATGGACTCAAATGATGTTGTACAAATCGGTACAGTCTATTTTTGTTGCCTGTAGGTGGCGTCCCGCTCTTTCTTTTGGTGGTTTTAGGGAGTTGTTCCCCTGCAGGTTTTATTATTTTCTTCTTGTTTGTTTTAATCATACCTCTTCTAGCTAACTGATATTTAATAACTGAGCTCACATGTGTGCCAAATGTGTTTTATTTTTGCTTCTTTTTGTACTCTGTATGCACTTGAGTAATTTGATTATTGGTTTCTTCTCTCTTTTTTGTCTTAATATCTCTGGCAGAAGATGTAACTTCAAAGGCTCTATTTTTTAATAGCTTTTAAGTCCTGATTCTGTCATTTTTAGGAACTTTTCCATTTTTATTTTTGTTTGTTTGTTTAGATCTCTTCAGCCTTGGTCTTCATTTAATGACAAGCATTTCACAGTTTTTTTTTTTCTGTTTTGAGTGTATTTGTGTGTTTACCAGATTGATATCTGAATGTTCCACATCATTTTGACCACATAACTTAACTGAGCCTGTCACAGTTCTTATTCATCCAGGCGGTCTTTAAAGTTAATTTAATCTTAGACTTTCCCGATTCGTAGATTATTGGACGAAGCACAGAGGTAAACACACATCCCCGATCCTCTGTAAATTGGTAAGAATCTGCACCAGCCTCCATGTGCGCTCATACTCCAAGCAGACGACTGTAAAGGTACAAAAATCACCTGTACACACAGCAAATGTAAATATATACTTGTCGCTCGAGGAGCTGGCCGTCTCTTGGTCCTGTTTGGTCGTACGGTGCAGTTATATATTTCTAAACGCGTACCTGTTATTAGCCACTCTTTAATTTTAGTGCAACGTGGTTTGTGGCCTGAACCCCCCCTTCTCTGTGTGCCTAAAATTAGCCAAGAAATGTGTATGGCAACGTAAGTAAATGGTGGTTATTATGTAAATACGGGAAACTAATGATAAACTATTTATTAAAGGTTTATTGTACAATGAAATGTTTGCCTCAGTTTTTTGCACAGGAGCCATTAGGGTGTTTTTTTTTTTTTTTTTTTTTGATCTCTTTAAGCATTTGGTTGAAGGCGAGGCAGCCACGTCTAATGGTTTTTAAATCTGAAGTAAATCTCTTTCCAAACAGAACTCCTGTTAGCATTTATCTACTGTCTTTAATGCCTGTCGTTATTTAATCCCACAGCTTTTGTTTAATTTTCAAGGCTCCTGGAAGGACTACTTTCATTTTATGATCATAGGGTTTGTTGCTTTGCTAAAGTATTCATACCCTTTTTCACATTTTTGTCATGTTACAACCACCTATGGAGCTTTTTTTCACTACCAAAGACCTTAAAAGCATATATTATTTAGCCCCCTTTACTCTGATACGTTAAATAAAATAAGAAGTGACCTAATTAGCAAATAGTTTTCATTTGTAATTTAATATCTGCGAAGGCAAATGGCATCATGACGCCCAGAGTAACTATAGAAGAGCTGCAGAGATCCAGAGCTCAGCTGGGAGAATTTGTGTAAAAAGAGTCAAAGTGCTTAAAAAAATTAAAAACTACGAGTCATTTTTTGGCAATAAGTGAATGTTTTTTTGGTGTCTGTAGAATGAGCTCTTTCAAGAGCCTTCCTGTAAGTCCATTGTTACTTAGCAACCCAATCAGAACCCAGCCCCGTCACCTAGCAACCCCATCGAAGTTGAGAACAAAACACTTTTCTTTCTCAGCAGCCACTGTGCAGCACATACAGCAGAAAAACCAGCTGACCAAACATGCTGGAGCTCTGCTGGGGTTGCTAGGTAATGGGCTGGAATTCCATGGGGTTGCTAGGTAACGGGCTGTGCTTCCATGGGGTTGCTAGGTAGCGGGCTGGGCTACCATGGGTTGCTAGGTAAGGGCTGGGCTTCCATGGGGTTGCTAGGTAACGGGCTGGGCTTCCATGGGGTTGCTAGGTAACGGGCTGGGCTTCCAGGAGGTTGCTAGGTAATGGCGCAGTGCTTTGATTTGTGACTTTACATCGGGAAGGTTTTTGAAACTGATGGGTGTTTTTGTTTTTTTAAGTGTTTGTGCTGTTTTTAGAAGCAGCTGAGGCCCAAATTGAAGTATAAAAACATGAAAATTGTGAGTTTTTCATTATAGTTTCCATTTATATGATCAACACTCCCTCTAGTTTTTGTTCCTCTTCACAGTGACGCTCTACTTTGTGTTGGTCCACCACATAAAATCCCAGTAAAGGCCACCATGTGGCCCGGTGTGTGAACAGGCTTTGACTGAGGAGTCTGTGGGCCCTGGGAACTTAAACCCGAGTTGCCTACAGATCCGAGTGTCAGTGTATGAATGTGTGAGCGTCAGTGCGTGTGACTGGGCAAACTCCACTGTAAAGCGCTTTGAGTGGTCGTATGACTAGAAAAGCGCTATTTAAATCCAATCCATTTACAGTTTGACGCAGCTGACCTGGGTGTGATTCCTGGCTCAGAGCCATTTCCCGCAGGTCTTCCCTTCTTCTCTCTCTGCCCTTGTTTTTGTCCAGCTAAAGTCAGCTGGTTTTAGTAAATGAACGAGAACAGTAGGGTTTGCTTCCATTTCAGGCTGATTTAATATTTCAGAAGCTGTAATATTCATAATCACATGACCTTAAATAGGGATTTGAACAGATTTCTCACATCAAACCCTTTCTTTCCATTCACACATTTTCCTCAAGCCCTCCATACAAGCCGCTACATGAGCCTAGAGTTGCTGTTGTATCAGTTTTGCCTGTGCCTTTGAGACTCAAACCTGCTCCAACAGGCAGTGAGAGTTTGTAGGTTTACAGGAACATTTCCTGCTTTGCTTACAGAATAATATTTCTGTATGTCTGTGAGCTGCACCGCTGTAGCATTTCCCCTCTGTCTGCAGGAATATGATGAGCTACAGGAAAAGTTCTACCTGTGGAGTAGCAGGTGTTACGTGGTCTTAACCTGGGATGAAAGAGATAATAATAAGGCTCTTAACCATAATCTGTGCCCACTGTTTCCTCACATAACCTCTTGCTGCACCAGGCGCTGCACCATCCCTTGCTTTGTCAGGATACTGTGCTTTATTAGGAAACCAGGTGGTCCTAAATGGTAAAATAAAAGTAAATAATGCATGTTCCTGTTATTTGCATTCCTGAATCAATATTTATTCTTTGCAAAACAGCTCAAGATAAGTCGGAGTGGATGGAGAGCGTCGGCAAATAAAACGTTTAGGGAATTGGATAACAGTCTGGATTGTCAAAAGAAAAGGAAAGCATTCCCAAGCAGAATTCTTCCAATGCGCTGTTGGTGCGTCAACATCTGCGTTTCCACAACAAATGTGTGCAAAACTTTGTCTATTATGTTGAAAAATCACAATTTCGCAGTTGCAGTGTTTCTATTAAAAAAGAAATATAATTATAATCACATGTAAATAAGTTTGTTCACTGTATAAGTCATTAAAAAATGCCGCGCCATCATTATCCTACCACTTCCTGTCATCCTCTTTATCTTTTCCACCAGTGTGATACAAAAAAGCTCTTTCCATTGCAGTTCTGCAAAATGCACCAGTTTCGATAAAGCCGAAGAACCACCTCATTCTTTTTATCAAAAACCGTGTTTTCTTGAATTAAGGACTTTTTTTTTTGTTATTCCAATTTGTGCAAATACCGCTCTGGAAAAAATGAAGAGCCCACTGCACTGAACCCCATTGAAAACCTCCTGGTTCTTCCACCAAATGTTGATTTCTGAGCTCTTCCTGAGTTAAAACATTAATTTTGTTGTTTCTAAATGATTATGAACTTGTTTTCTTTTAGTTATTTGAGGTCTGGAAGCATCTTTTTCGTCATTTGACCATTTCTCATTTTCTGTTAATAAAAACTAAATTTCTGCCTGGAATTTCAGAGACATGCTGTCAGCAGTTCATAGAAAAAAAGAACAATGTTCATTTTGCTCAAACATAGGCCTATAAAAAGTAAAATCAGGGAAACTGGTAATTTTTCCAGAGCTGTATATTCAATAGAAATGCAGCTTCTAACTCTGCAGCGATTGGATCGGGGCTATGAACCATGATCTGGGTCCTTTGTGACCTCCTGGATAAAATGTTGATGCAGTCTTAAAGTAATTTTTGTGCATCGGTTTCTGTTTTTTTTATTCATCTTTTCTTGAATGTCTGTAGATCAGAGTATGATGTGTTGCATTTTGAGACCTTTGGCCTACTTCATGTTGTCAGACAGCTTCTGTTCAGAGATTTCTAGATTCTACAGGTAGTAATCAGCTGTAAGTGAAATTACCCTCGGCTTTCCAAGAAATAAAAGGGTTAATCACAATTTATTCAATGGCTCCACAAAGAATCAGGTTAGTGTTAGTTGCTTTGTCTGTTAAATTACTACATGAGAGATTCTTTTTCTCATTTAATCAGGTTGTATTAGTCAAAGATTAATCTTTTTGTACTGATTGATTTAAATGTTAAAAGTTTTAAGGTGCAAAGATTTTAGTTTCCTCTACATGTTTTCTAACTTCTCTTTAAAAAAAAAAAAAAAGAAGAAGGGAAATGTTTAAACTTGCAGCCTCTGATGCTTGGAGCTGCACAGCAGCAGCTTTCTGGGAATTAGGGGCACGCAGCCTCGTCAGGATTAGCAGCGGCTCTCTTGCAGGGAAAGGATTGGGTGTGTTTTAACAAGAGCAACTTTTTCTGATCGCTTTGGAGAATCTTCTTAAATGACCTTCTTGGCAGAAGTGAGAGCAGGAGCCCCTCTTCGGGTTGTGCTCATGTTTTGGATGAAGAACGGACGGATGAAGAATGTGACTGCTTGGCGGTGGGCTGCTGCCATGTGTAGCGATGCCGAGTTGCTGTCATAGCACATTAGTTCAGCAGGCCTCGGTTAGAGGCGAATGTACGGAAGACAATTAATGCCATAAAAAATAAAATAAAATTCTGATATTAGTCTCAAAATTCAGTTTTATTTTTTTCTCAGAATTCTGCCCTTAATCTCAAACTTCTGTTTTATTTTTTTTTTCAGTACTTTGTCTTTGTCTCGTCAGAATCAGAATTGTTTTAATTATTTATGTAAGGCAAATGTAGCCTTAAAACTCGGATCAACCAAATAAATTGGAACAGGCTTTCAGAGTGGATAAAGTGCAAGTTTAAAATCCTGTACCAAGGAAGAAACAGGTATTTAGTTATTTTAAAATAATAACATAACTTACACAAACCTAAGAATTTTTGGTGATTTATTTGGATAAAAAAAAATTGTATCATTATTGTTATTTTATTATTTTAGTGGCACTAATCCTCTCTTGTACTGTACTGTGTTAGGGAAAAATGGGAGTAAATTGCTGCCTAAAAATCTTAGACGTTTTACAGAAAAAAAAGAAGAAAATTTCTGAGTTTGGAAAGTCAAAAATTTGTCAGAAAAAAAAATCTGAAATTTTATAACTTTTCTAGAAAAAAAACTTTGAAATTTCAGAGTTTGAAAAGTTGAAATTGTGCCAGATGAAACTCCTGCTGTATCACACATGAGCATCCACCAAAAGGCCTCTTTCCGTGAAAAAGCCATCTTTAAAATCTGTCAGCAGCGACGAGGGGAAATCTTTCTTTAGAATAACCCAGCTGACTCTCTAGACTGGAGGAAAGGGAAACAGGCCCACAAGTGGACGTCCTGACAGTCGACGGCATATTTTCCTACGGTGGAAGTGTTGTATGTTGGCGTCTAGGAAGAGCCTTGAGATGAATCATGTGTGAACTTTATTGTTCCTCCAGTCAAGTTTGTCTGTTTGAACCCGGTTTTGTTTCTAACCTCTGCCTGCTTTCCCATGATCTATAAGCAGCAGCAACGTATTTTCACGTGACTTCCTGGAGACCAAGGTTGACGATTAACTCTGGGACATGCTGGGCGTGGATGTGCTGGCAGTGGATGCTTTCACATCCAAGGTTTAACATGTGGTATATATATATTTTTTTTTCTTTATGATGTTAAAAATATTTTTGCTTCCTTGTATTTTCTCTGCAGGCATCTCCACATTTCTTGCAGATAACATGCAGCCTTATCACCCTGCACTCTGACCTTGTTTGTTGTTGCCTCTCTGCATGTTACAGGAAGTGACAGTAGAGGTTCAGCTTTTATGTAAGGTCACTCAGGTGATCATTTCAAACAATTTTATGTCATTTTAAATTACATAAACTGATGCACCTGTGCAGAAAGAGGCCACATCAATCAACAGTCACATCAACCTGCATTTAAACTCTTACTGAAATCAAGATTCACGACTTGTCCTAAAAAACCTCTTTCTTTATTGCTCCAGTTTTACTCTAACTCTGGGATGTGATGAGTACTTCATCGTTGATTTTGTGGAGCT